TCATAGGTATCGTCTCCCCCTCCTCCTCTTCTTCCTCCTCCTCCTCCTACTAACATCATTGTTGTTGTTATCAGCACCATCGGCATGATCTCGATAAAGTCAAACACAACAACAGCAATAACAACGATCTACTATTGTAGCTGGTGGTTTACCCACCAAGGTTCGAACCAGGCATTGCCGTCCTCGCTTGAAAGATACTTCTTCCAGTGCGCTCCCTTTATCATCGCTTCGTCTCGAAACACCTGCCACGACCGTAGACGGTTTACAAAGGTGAACGCAGCCCAAGCTTCTTCATGCATGTACAGCATCCACCGTGTCTTCCCCTAAAGCAGACGTACGTGTGTGTGGTTGTTTCGTCCCATCCGGGCACCAGTCCATCGCAGCAAACAAAGATTCCAACAGTCATGAAGAGCAGCGCAAAAGGCGCGAACGCGCTCGCATGATCCAGGAAGGGACAAATAAGCGGCGGCAATCAATCGTTGTTGGCCTGACGTAATAATATGGCCCAAAAGCATTCTTAGACCGGGAACTACAGTACATACATTCGTTTGACTTCACTAGAAATCTCATCAGCACAGCTTATTGCAGCACATCATACTCAAACCGTCAGCATGAACAACAGCGCAACATGCGCCCACTCGCTTGCGCGTTCAAGAAAGGTGAAGAAGATAGGGCTGCGCCATCGACATTGATTGGTCGGATGGCACATCGTGATGAAGAAAACTTCCAAGATCGGGATCTTGGCTGGCTGACCTGAGCAGAAGCTACGGTAGATGAGAAGTATGTGTCGAGGTGGCCTTTATACCCGAGGATCATCTGCAATCGGGTAAGTCTTTGTGCAGTTAACTTCCAGACAGAAGTCTGTGATAAGTTCAGCGAAGCTGTTGAGGCAGTGACCGAAATCGATGTGGTGGCTATTCGAATTGCCCAGTCACCGTTGATTAGTCAATTGGCCTAATTTTATCGTATGTCGACGGGATCTTGGCCTCCCAGCGGGAACAGTGATCTCCGGGGCCGGACCCCTTGCCATGCGTTGCTGGGTTTGGAAATGATAATTCTGGCGATTAACCCAGCAACGCATGGCAAGGGATCCAGCCCCGGAGATGACCGTTCCCGCTGGGTGGCCAAGAACCCGTCGACATATTTTTTTTCGATAATATTGGACCATTTGACCAGTCAACGTTGACTGGCCAAATGGTCAAAACTTATCGAATTACCTACTACTGTGAGTGCCGCGACTCCTACAATCTTTCCTCTTCACCTTACGTGCAGAATTGAGATGTTGAAGTGATAGTTGGCAACCCATAGTTGGGAGATCACGAGGTGTGGCAGTGTTCAGCACTATTTGAGGGTTGTGCGACAGTAGATGATGCAACGCGGCTGCTGCTGCGGCCGAGACGCCAAGGTATGGACCCCACCGCGAGCGTGAACGTCGCATGCATTGGCGCAACGAAGTCGTTCGTGTGCAACGAACAGCGCTGAGCACGTCCTCTTCTTGGGGAACATCACCGCATAGTACTGCACAGTAAAGTCCAGCAGTACTAGAAATATGGAAAGCAGTAGAATGCACCTTGCTGAACACTGTCGTCCTGTACCGCTCGGTGTGAATAGTAGCAAGCAGGAGACAAACACTAGGGCTGTGCAGGCGGTTCCCGCGGGCCATTTTTGCCGTGTATCGCAGATGGCGTTTGGACAGCTCATCAGCCTCGATACACGATGAATATTCTTCAGACTCGTCGATTACGCTGAGTCGATCAATCTACGCGAAAGCTCGTTCGCGTTGCAAGACAAGTCAATGTTTCTCACACCAATGGGCATTCCACGCACACTGCTGTATACATCCAGGGTCGAAAACAATACGACCACTCACTGCACTTCCCAAGCTGAAATATAGCAAACGTCTGGTGGGAAAAATATGTCGATTCCCTCAAAAAATACGTGTTATCACAGGGGTGAATCGAAGCCATGACTCGAAAGTTGTGGGGTCCAGGGCATACTTTTTGGGTGTCGATACCGACCTTTGTCCTCTTCACGGATGGCTGGTCAAACGTCACCCCAACCACGTCCCCGCAACCTCCTCCTACCAAAATGGACGACTACTGCTGCATTCACCAGTCCTTTCGAATCCTAATACACTTTACACACAAAGCTACCACAATGTTGGATCCTCACCGGCTATTGTCCGCGAACAGCGGGCCACCCTTTCTTCTTTGTTTTTCGTTTTTGGTCCTTTCTCTGTCGTCCACACTTTTCCCCCCGCCATCTGTTCATCGCATGTATGTGTGGCTCGTCTATGATCGGGCGCTCTTCCGTAGTACATACTGCATCTATCAACGCAGCAGTTTTCTCGCTACAACAACAACAACTTGCTTCAAACCCTCTGCGATGTGTTAAGGTACTGTGAGAAACTGTTTACACTACCACAGCCATTCGGTGGGTTTATCTTTGATATATGTTTTGGTGCTAACCCCGCAGCGAGTGCTGCAGGGGACGTTATTGACTTTTCTTGTTTTTCGTGATCAACCCATCCCAAATTTGGTCGCTGCTGTATTGAACTGTTAATCCACCGCATAGAGATTTGTCTCTTTGAGGGAGCATATATTTCTTCGATTCCGTATTGTTTCGTCAGAACATCTCAACTGATGCCCATTTTTCTCCTCATGATATTTTCTTGCTTTTTCTCAGTTTTTTTTCACCCACCTCTCTGTTCTTGTCTTGCCTCCATAGAATACAGAATAACCATACACTATATCTCATGTATTACTCGGTCTTATATGCAAACTCGGCCCATTCGGCGATAGGCTGTGATGTATGTGTGCTGCACGCTAGCCGGGTTTTTTAACAGGTTTCCCAAACGACTCATGGCACTCCCATGGGTGACCGATGGGTGACCCATGGGCAGGCCATGGGCACCCCGTTACCTAACCCCAAGCCCACACGATAGGTGCTATGTTGGTGCTCTTGGCAAAGTTGTAGGTTGATGTGAAGGTGGCAAAGTTCGAGGTTGAAGCGCCCACGGTGGGCACTTCATGGGTCGCCCATGGGTGGGTTAGAAAACTGTCAGTAGTGTGGGAGCTTGCCCTAGCCTACGGGGGGGACAGTATGTCTGTGTCTTGTAGCGGGTACATGCAGTGGCACGAGGAAAAATATCACAACTGAACTACGCTACATCAGATCAACGCCATTTGACGGGGGGGACACCTCCTCCATTAATTGAAACCAACTCAAACGACCCCTCTCCGCTCCTGAAATTCTCCTCAGGCACAAGAAGCATGGTGTGTTGCAAGTCGGTTTAGACTTACCAATCGTTTCCCCGCAAACTCCCGGAAAAACAAGACGTACGTGTATTGGAGGTCCTACATCAAGGCATAGTCCACGTTGAAACGACGCCAATATGGTACCTACCGTTGAAGAGAAAAATATCATGCTACAGTGGTATTGGTCCTGGAGCCCGATGCAGTTGGCCCTCTGTAACTTTTGATTGCGGGCGACAACAAAAAAGCTAAAGGTATCTTGGGAACGCACGCGGCAAGGTGCTTAAGACTAGCAAGACGACAATAAAAAAAAAAAAAAGGGGGAAAAGTGGTCGAGGGCCGGCCTCGAACCACGGACGATGTCGTTTCAATGTAGTCTTCTCGATACATTTTCCTATTTTTTTTTT